GGTGTGGTCCCCACCGGGGCCGCCCGAAAAGGAATAGGGCGGGCCTCCACCCCACCGTTCGTCCCGAGGCACGTCACCTGGACCCCGCCTCCGGGAGGACGGGGGAGAGCCGAGCCCAGTACCACTGAGGGGCCCCCACCCCCAAGCCAGCGGGGACCCACGGAGGTGGGCCCCTGTTTCACGTGTGGGCAGTGGGGCCATCTCCGCCGTGAATGTCCCCTCATGGAGTGCGACCTAGGTAACGAATATGCGTTGCAAGAAGCCGCTGTCGGGGCTCGCCCTCCACCCTGGACGGTCACCGTGACGATCGCCGGGCGAGAGTGGGATGCTCTACTGGATAGCGGAAGTTCGGTCTCCATGATCTTATCCAGCCTACTACCGTCCTGGTTGCCTGTCATCCGATGGGCCACCATAGTATGCCTACATGGTCATTCCGAAAGATGTCCGGTGGTGCCGGTCGCCGTCCGTTACTTGGGGCAAGTATTTGACATCCCGATGGCCCGAATGGCCAAACTACCCTGCAAGGTCCTACTGGGACGGGACGCCCCCGGCCTGTTGGAGGCCATCCAGAGGTATCACGAACCGGAACCAGCCCGGGCAGGTCCCTCAAGGGGACAGGACCTAGCCGCCGCCGAAGGGAGTGTTGATGCCACCCAAGCGAATGGAGAAGACGAGGTGGAGCCGGGCGAAGGCTCCGATGGCGACGCTGCGGGGAACCCACAAATCGGATGGGTGGTGGACCCGGCCTTTCGCGCCGCGCAAGCCCAGGCAGAAGAATTGGCCAAACTTCGAGACCAGGTGGCGGTAAGAGACGGGGAAGTACTAGACCCCCGCCGGGGCAACCGCTTGCCACATATAATGCAACGGGGGGGCGTGTGGTTCCGGGTAGCCAGGGGGCGGATGGGACCCGTAGAGCAGTTGCTGCTCCCAGCAAGGTATCAGATGGAGGCCATGGGGTGGGCACATGACCATCGGTGGGCGGGTCATCAGGGCTTTCAAAATTCCATGGCAAGGATACTGGCCCATTTTTTCTGGCCCTCGGTGGCCAAAGATGTGCGAGGGTTTTGCAGGTCCTGCGAGGTGTGTCAACGGATGTCCCACAAGGCCGCCCCGAGAGCTCCTCTTTCCCCTATCACGGTGGCAGGGGAGCCCTTCGAGAAGATCGCGATGGACTTTGTGGGGCCACTAGCCCGAACACCGCGAGGGGCTCGCTATATCCTCGTGGTCATGGACTATGCCACCCGATACCCGGAGGCGATACCCCTTCCTAGTTTAAAGAGCGCTGGGGTGGCCAAGGCACTTATGCACCTCTTCGCTCACGTGGGGCTCCCGAAAGAGATCCTAACGGATCGGGGGTCCCCCTTTACGGCCCGACTGATGCGACAGGTATGCGATGTGTTACACATCCGTCAACTTTTCACCACCATCCACCACCCACAGACCGATGGGTTGGTGGAAAGGATGAACCAGACACTTAAGAATATGCTGCGCAAATTGGCACGTGACCGGCCTGCGGCTTGGGACCTCCTGTTGGACCCCGTGCTCTTCGCGATCAGGGAATCTCCGCAGGCATCCACGGGATTCACGCCGTTCAAATTGCTCTACGGCCGCAATCCGCGCGGCATCTTGGGGTTAGTCGAGGAACAATGGGCACGGCCTCCAACCAACGCTCCAGAGACGGGAGTCGTCGAATACGTGGCCCGCCTCCAGGAACACCTCCAGTGGGTGCGCGACCAAGCCCGTGGCAACCTCCAACAGGCACAGCAAACACAAAAACGGCGCTACGATCGCAACACTCAAGAGCGGACCTTGAAGGAAGGTTCCCTGGTACTGGTGTCCCGCCAGGTGCTAGGGCGGCAGTCGGGCGACCCCTGGCAAGGACCATATGCCGTCACCAGGGTACTAGGTCCCCTCTCGTATGAGGTCCAGTGTGGGACACATCTACGTCAGCGGAAACGCCTGCACATAAATCACTTAAAAGAATGGAACCCCCGTCCAGACCCTGCAGTAGTTTGCCTGGAAACAGACCCCGCGGAACTGCCAGACGGGATACTACCGTGGGGGCCAGCGCCAGGAGAGGCTGAACGGCCTCAACTAGACCCAGGTCTCAGTCAGGTCCAGCAGACACAAATCCTCGACGTCCTGGCACAGGTCCCCGGGGTCTTCGACAATACCCCAGGGTACACTAGGTTGGCCACCCATTACATCCCGACCACAGAGGGTAAAGTGGCCAGGGCCCGCTGGAGGCCTCTACCACAGAAACAATGGGACATGATCGGGCAGGAAGTACAGGACATGTTACGCATGGGAATAATCGAGCCATCCCGGAGCGCCTGGCGTAGTCCCATTGTTTTGGTACCAAAGCCCGACGGCTCGGTACGCTTTTGCGTGGACTATAGGGAGGTCAACAAACTATCGGCCTTTGACGCTTACCCCATGCCACGCGCCGACATCTTAATCGACCAATTAGGGCAAGCAAAGTATCTGACGGCCCTCGATTTAACGAAGGGGTATTGGCAAGTCCCCGTCCACCCCCCAGATCGAGAGAAAACTGCCTTCGCTGCCCCGCAAGGGCTCTTCCAGTTCAGACGGATGCCCTTCGGTCTAAAAGGGGCCGCGGCCACTTTTCAGCGGCTGGTGGACCGGGCGCTCGCCCACTGCGCCCAGTACGCCAGAGCCTATATCGACGACATACTAATATGCAGCCCGGACTGGCCTACCCACGTACGCCACGTACGGGCTGTCTTGGAAGCCTTAAAGGACGCGGGGTTGCATGCCAACCCCCGGAAGAGCCGGATAGGGTTCCAAGAACTGCAGTACCTGGGGTTTGTCGTTGGGAAAGGCCAACTACGTCCTGTGCCCGAAAAAGTGCTGACGGTGGAGCAACAACCCCGTCCTACCACCA